GTGCAAATAACAAAAATGGTGACGGTCAATGTGTTAACTTCGAGACTCCTGAGGGGTGCAACGGACCCTACCTCGATGTTACTCGGATTCTTGTGGGGTTTCGCAGCCTTGATGCCCGGGTATTCTTCCTTGTTCCCTTTGATCTTCAAGGGGTGCCCTCCGTCATTCTTGTTCTCGCTCACCATGACGATGATACTCTTGTCTCTGGATGTGAAGTGTATCCACTTCTTGGTGAAATTAAAAACCGCACACTCTGCGCAGAAAAATAAGGCATCACATCATTATGCAAACACAGGGAAGAGGGAGCATGACTGCAAGATTATGAAATTAAGGCCTATGTGAAGTGTATCCACTTCTTGGTGAAATTAAAAACCGCACACTCTGCGCAGAAAAATATGGCATCACATCATTATGCAAACACAGGGAAGAGGGAGCATGACTGCAAGATTATGAAATTAAGGCCGCTTATTTTCAGTTTTTCATGAGGCACATTGTCATTTAATTTTAATGCGAGTCATTCATAATTATATGCGTAACTATGTTGGCACAAGCACACGCTTCTATATAGATGCATTTACATGTTCATTCTCAAATAGACAAACTTACTCGCGGATGAAGTAGGATGGTCCATGGAGGAGTCCTTGGGACGAGATGTCGGAGACCTTTCTGCCATTACTCGAATGAATCTGCAATATGGTTACTCTTGAAATGGAAATAGAAAGCAAGTTAGTGAGGATATTCGCGTCAAGGAAACTTGAAAAGCTGAAATTACTCTAAAAGGGAAGAAACCTGTGAAGGAATGGGAATGGGGGCAATATGAATGGAATCAGTAAAGAATAGATATTGAGATATGAATGTGGGATGGAGAGAAAAGAGGAAAATGGTTATGTCTGGAGCCGAAGAGACAAACGAGACAACAAGTTGAACAAAGAAAGCTGGAACTTAACAATGATTTGAGATGCGTGGGGTGGGTTCTGGAGACCTTCACGAACGCTGGCTCAAGAGGGATCTGCCTGGTCAGGACCATGAAAGCTGAAGTGGGAGGAGCCTCCCCCGCCCCCTTCCACTGCGAAAGACGCCCCCTTGAGGCTTGAGGGTCCATCTACAACAAGGGTGCTCGACCTATGGCCCTCGGGCCCGATCTGGCCCGCGGCGCTTCTCGAAATTTCATGGAAAAAAATGTTCTGCTCCTTTTCCGGCTGCGAGTAGTTGGCGATCAGACTAGGGCGGGAAAGGACAGAGAAAATGAATAATGGAGGCTTGAATGCAAGGCTGTCTTCCATGCAGTTTCATCCCACACCATGGGAAGAACGTAAACTTGTCACTTTTTTATTATTCCTACTCAAGATATCAAGCTCAACAGAATAAAAGGGACGACAGGCACAAATACATCATTCTCCCCCCCCCCCCTCCCCAAAAGTAGAAGAAAAGAGCGGTAGAAAAGCAGCAGACTG